GCAGGGTTTGCGTTTTAGCATAAATTCAAACAGTGTGGCTTTAAAAGAGTTTACCACATCAAAGAGAGGCTGTTTGGGCATGTTTTATAAATTCTTTTCTGTATAGTATTTAAAGCTACAAATGCCTCATAAAAATGTGTTCCACTTCGATCAGGCATGTTGGCATGGTGTCCTTGCTCCAGCTTTTACCGTCCTTAGTTTTTGTACCCTAAGAGAATCATCTGAAAACGGGTCTAGGCCTTTTGCCAAGTCAGATTTCCTTAATCGGCTGCTTTCAGATCCATAGAACAGCTCTGCAAACGCTGCTGTACTTGACCTGCACAGCAACAAATCGTGTCCCTCATCATGGTCATCTCTCTTTCTTTAAATCAAACAATCGCTGTATGAATCTGCAGCCAATTGAATGCCAATTGCAACACTTCCTATGGTCTCATAGTCTCCGTCAAAATGAAACGAAACCAATGAAAGCCCCCTGCTTTTCTGCTGAACCCCTTTGGGGGGTGAGGAAAGGTTGGATGGTAAAGAGACCTGTAGGTACGGTTTCCAAAGCCACATGGCGGAGCGCGAGAACACTGGCTCAGCCCTGGCAGAGGCAGAGGGGCTGGGAGGCCAGGAGGTCCCCTTCCTCAAGGCCCAGGCTCTCCACCTGCAGAGCAAGGACGGTGCTTAGTGCGCCTTCCTCCTCCCTCCTTGTCACCTGTGCACCCGTGCACCCCTGTATTTACCCCAGAAGCACACCTCCCATGTTCTTGCCCCATGGAACACACAGCCTAAAATGGATACTTACTAGTGAAATAATCAGATTCGTGAATAATCACCAGCCATGGCTTCGTGCATTCGGGCTCTTTGAAGAAAGCAGGTCCTGTGACAGAGAGCCTAAGGCAAAGGTCCGGCCTTGGAAGTAATAGGAGACAGTCACCTTTCCCAATGTGGTGTTTGCGCCTGCTGCCTGGGCAGGGGCAGGGGTAGGAGAGTGAGATGTTACGAAGGCCTTAGTGGGCTGTGGGGGGAATATTTTATTTTTGCTCTAAAATAAAAGGAATCTTTGGAGAGTTTTAGGCAAAGGTAAAGTGTGTGTTTGTAAAAAGTAGCTGCTGTATGGAGAATGGCCGTGCAAGCCCTGTAGTGAGCATGGGAGAGCATTCCTGTGCCCATGTCTAGACTCAGGAGACAGGTGGCTGAGGCAATTATGACAGGGCAAGTGGAATAAAATGGATCAATTCAGGAAAAATACAGATGAGAACAACAGGCCCCCTAGGGTGGGTAGGACTGGGGAGGGCATGCTGAGGAAGAGGAAGGTAGAGGATGGCTCTCAGTTCTGGCGCATGAGACTAACTGCTGGACTAACCTGGCAGCCCAGCGGGGCAGTTGCTGATACAACAATAGGTTCCTCTTGTTTTGATTGCTTTGGGCTAGGTGTTCCTTGCTTTGATTCACTTGGTCTTCAGCACACATCTATGTGCTGTTTTACTGTACTGCACAAATACAAAGGTTGTGCAAGAAGTGACACAGCCAAGAGACAGTACCTGCACACGCTCGCAGGCTCTGCTGTCCATCCCAAGCTGGGAGCCCGGGACAGCTTTTCATAATACTCACATCTACTCCAGTTTGCGAGTGTGGTTTGCATTGTGTAGAGTGAAATGCCTGGGAAGAGAAAAATGAGGAAACCACGTGATCCGAGCAGGCCACCAGGGCACTGGAGACCTGATTCTGTCCCCCCAGAGCACTTGGGAAAACCACTTCCCCTTCTCTGACGGTCAGTTTCCTATCTGAGAAATGAATATTTTGGAGGTACCACCCCAACGGCTCTTCCTCCTCTCTGGAAGTCTGTGAATGTTATGACCTCCAGATGTATCTCACTCACATACACTGCCTCCTTCCTACATTTTATTAAGCCTGAACCCCCCCCACACACACACACACATACTTGTTGAGAAGAGGGCCTTAGTACTAAGTTGTACTGCCAGCTCCATTTTTCTGCCATTATAAAACAGGTCTTACTAAATTTGTAAGTTGCCCAGGCTAGGCTTGAATTTGTAATCCTGTTTCCTTAGCCTCCTAGAACACAGGGAGTACAACTTGCTGGGATTACAGAATCCCAGAGTTCTGGGATTACATCACCATGTTTGACTAAGCACTATAGATGGGCCTTTTATTTACATTATTCTTTTACTTTATTTTGCTCATATGTTTATTTTTTTGTCATTTTTGAGGCAGGGTCTTGCTATGTAGTTCAGGTGGGCCTTGAACAGATTATGTGGACCAGGCTGAGCTTAAACTTATGGTAGTTTTCCTGTCTCAGCCTCCCAAGAGCTGGTGTTACAGGTGATTGCCACCATGCCTGACTCAGGCCTTTTAATCTAGTTTTTCACCTGATCAAACCACATATCTGGGCATTCCCGAAGGCTCCCAGAGACCAGTGTCTTCCTCTTCCTTGCCTAAACCTGCAGTCATCTAAAGTAAGCCTAATTCTAGATTCTTAACTTGGAATTTAAAGTTTACAGTTCTTAGTTCTAGTGTCTCCCTGTTTCTAAAGTTTTATTTTACCAGAAATTATTAACAGACATTCAGGAATAATTTGGTTTGATTGTTACCAACTCTCTCTCTATAACATAGGCCATTTTGAAAGTATTTCTGAGCTTAGCCCTAATTCATTTTGAGGTAGGCTATTATGAGAGTATTAAAAACCCAGAGAAGGCCCCCGTCTTCCCATGACTAGAGGGCTTATTTGGAAGAGACATGTGTTCCTGCAGCCGTCTGTTGCCCCTGTTGTTGAGCACATGCATACTCATGTAAGCGTGCTTGTGTAACATGTACACACACACACACATAAATACATTCTCTAATGGAACACAAAATCAGGATCAGGAGTTGGAGAGTAAGTTCATTACTACTAAAAGAACTCACAAAAAATGGTAGTTAGACTCAGTTAGATTAAATCCAGAAACAAGTTTGTTTTCTAAAGGAGCGCCACACTTGTAGGGTAGCTCAGCCCACCTCACAGGAAAGAGCTCTCCAGCCATCGCAGCCCTAGGTGGCTCTGACCCGCATGAGCATTTCTTAGCTGTGAGGTGCAAAGAGCAAGGCTCCTGCTTGTTTGCCTGTCTCTGGACGCCACTCGCGCCACTTATCTTAGGAGGGCTGAGAGGCCAGGTTGCCTCGCCTTCTGCACTATCTCACAACGCCTCCACCCCCAGAAGCTGTGGGTGCCACACTTTGGACAAGTGTGCCAGGCTTCCTTTTCTTGTTTTTCTGAAGCCTTATTTTAAGAGAAATCTTATTTTTTCTTCAGGCCTAGGAAGCACGTATCTGACCTCAGGCCTCACGGTGCTGCCTTTCCTTGTGCTGGGGCTGGGCTGGGCTGCCCCTCACACCTTCAGCATACCCAGCTCTGCTCCAGTTTGTGACTCTTATGCTCACAGTTACATCGAAAGAGGAGGAACTCCAAGAGATGTCAGCCTTAGTGGGGGCGTTGAACCACAGCATTCCCTGTGGCCACTCAGAAACTTAGAGACAATTTCCTAGCTAGGGGATGGATTTTGAAAGCACATTGGTACCTGTAGAGGTGTAGTAATGCATGAGTCAGGCTTGAGATACTAGAAAAGTAGAGGGCGTTTCAAATTTTAAAGCCTTTAAGACAGCACTCAGGAGCCATGGAGATAGCTCAGCTGTCTAAGCACCTATCTAGGCAATCACAAGGAGCCGGGTTCGATCCCCGGTACTGCATGCTGTGCCAGCCCTGCTGTAGTGAGACCCTGTACCAAACACATACTTTTTAAAGTGAGCATACTAATACCTATAGGAAAGAGTTACAGAGTAAGGAGGACAGGAGAAGGAGTAGGGGAAAGATACATCTGTGAATGTAAGCAGGTGGAAAACTGTACTGTGCATTTCTGCTGGTCTGTGGAAAGAAGCAGTTAATGCTTTATTTGTTTCATCTCCTTTTTTCAAGTTTTTATACTTTTTCTCTCATTTTCTTGTAAACTTCTGTCTTTTTCTTCTTCTTCCAATTTCACATGTATATATCTGGTAATATGAATGAATGGCTAGACAACAACCCTATGTATTATAACAAATACTGTGAAATTCATAGGACTTTGTTAGGTAAAATTCTGTATCACGTGTAATGTTTTGCTTTAATTCTAATTTGTACTCTCTTTTAAAAAGAAAAATTTTTTTAAAAAAAGTGCTTAGCAGAGACAGATGTGATACCTCTCCTGTCTCAGGCTTTGTGGTCACTGAATGACCTGTAGCGTATCCTGTGCCCCAGAGCTCAGGCAAAGGTCATGAGTGTCATGGAAGACACACACAGTGGTGGGTTTGCTGCCCTGTGCTCCTCTTCCTCACCCATTTGTGTCTCAGCTTTGAGTGTTGTTCAGTGATGGAGGCCAGAAACTGAAATCCCTGGGCATGAGATTCCCACCTGCCACTGTCTGTCTTTGTTCCTCTTAGTGCCTGCGAGTCCCGCTGTCCCACCCCGGCCTGGTTCTTCTGTCCTCTGTGCCTTGCCACGAGGGCCTGTCACTCGGGCCTCATAGTCATTCATCAGACATTTAGGATGCACCCACCATGTGCTAGCCACTGGGGATCGAAGGGGGGCCCGTCATCCAGGACCGGGTGATTGCTGCTGGACCAGTCTCACCTGCTGTGATGTTGTCACTAAAAGACTGTCCCTGGCCACATTATAGTTGTGTCTGGATTCGGGAGTGTGCTCATTAGCACTGGTAAAATCTTCCTTGTCCACTACTGAGCATCGTGTGACCTGGGTAGCAGCCAGAGTGGCCACCTGTCCTAGTGCCCTCCTGTCCCATGTACAGCGGCTAGACTCTCCAGCAGTTACTGCAACAGTTGCTCAGTGTATCCTGGACTTCAGCACTTGGGACCAGGCGGTTGCTCTCACCCGAAGTTGCCAGCTCTTGCCAGAGTTCTCTTCTTCCGGGTTCTTCATCTTCTCTTCTCTTTGCTTTCTTGAGATAATGTTACCTGTACTTTTTCATGCACAAAGCTACAGGCTGTTTTAAGAAGACTGAGGTTTCTGATGGAAGCACCAGCAAATTTTAATTGATCTGTGATTTCAAGTTAGTAAAAATATGATCTTCATTTCTCTGTTAATGAGCTGGAAGTTGAACCACATCTGGTTTGAAACTCAAGTGGAAGGGAATGAGAAGAAAACAAAGCAAGTGTAAGTGCTTATTTATTTATACCTTTGTCTGAATAGGAGACTTGAGAGATTGAGCAGGAAGCAGTAGTTCAGGGATTTTGTTGTTTGCTAATAGAGGATCCCTGCCCCTGTGCTGTAAGAGGATGGGCTATGCAACTAGCATTATAGCCTTTAGAGGAAGGGAGACGATGTCCCAGAAGAACATGAAACCTCCGCTTGCAAAGAGCTGGTGTCTACCAGGAAGCCAGTCTCAGAATGTGTGGGGTCACTGGGGCTCAGCACAGATGGTGCCAAACCACCAGTCACTAGGCAGGCAGTATCAGAAATGCTGTCTTAGTTTGGGCTGTCTTCCTGACATAGACCCAGCGGTCTAGCTGTGAAGGCTGGCAGTCCCAGGTGCTACCATGATCTGCTTCTAGGGAAGTCCCTTTTCCTGGATTACAGTCTTCTCCCTGTGTCCTTCCCTGGCTGAGAGACCAAGGTCTGGTCTTTGTACTCCCTTAAGGGCACGAAGGGTACAAAGTACTCCCTTCATACTCCCATCATGCGGCGTCTGCCTTCATGGCCTCACTGTCCGTCCACATGCTCCATCTGCACTGACTACTCAGAGTCAGAGGCCAAAGACTTAGAAGTAAGTGTGCTCCTGGAGGGTACTAACCGCCTTGCAAATTTCTGGGACTCGTGGAATATTCTGATTATAAATCCAGTCTTGTCCTGGGCTAGCTAGCATGGGTTCTTACTTTCGTGAAAATGGAAAATAAAACTAAAGCAGATATTTTTAGGGGGAAAAAAAGAACTTTAATTGAAGGGCACGAGAAAATAAGGAGAGGACTCCAGCTTAGATGGTAGCTGGAGGAGGCGCACTGTGCTGAGGAGAATCGGACAGGCCTATCAGAGCAGCCGAGAATCCAGTTCTGTGGGGCGCTTGGAAGGGCACAGGCTACTCAGTATTTCAGTCTCGGTTTCACAGCTCAGATTGAATACTCAAGACTTGCATACCAGGACTCTTCATACCGTGGGAGAAATCTTCTTGATTTCCAGGGAAGTTCCAGTCATGTGAGGATCTGCTGGAACCCGTGGTGCCTGTGGGGTCAGGGCAGTGGAGATTTCTGGCATAGGTGTTCTCAGTCTTAAAGGGTGAGAAATAGTCCAGGTGAATGTAAGGCCAGGAGACACATCCTAAATCACTGAGGTGCTGAATGCGGAGCTAGAGAGACTTGACCTGGAGTTTCACAAAACGAAGGTCAAGCTTTGCTGTACTTCTAGTTACCTTTTAGGCACTTGCAGGCCCAAGTAGGGATTCAATATTAAGCAAAAACTACTTTTAAGTCCCTGACTGCCTCAGAAGTCATAAATCATTATTTTTATGTATAATAGGTTAAAGGCCCAGGAGTGAGTCTGTGCTTTGTCCCCAGGGTGATCTCAGCAATGTCACAGCTGTGTCATTCTTGCACATTAGCCCAGTGCCAGGCCAGAGGAACCCCCAAATCAAAGCTCTGTCTGCCCCTCGACAGCTGTCCACACTGAACCTCTGCCCCAGGTATCATGAGAGTGCAGGCCCTCCTTTCATCTCCCTTTCTGAGGAGTAGCACAAGGTGAAGAGCCAAAGCACGAGGGTCAGGCTGGGGACAGAGAGTAGGGTTTGGAGGGAAGGATGTGAACCGGTAGACAGAGCCACCTTCACTAAGCTTAAAGTAGGCCATTTTAATATTATTGTATCCAAGGTTGATTTGTTATTACTGAATGTATCTACTTTATTTTCTGATTTGGACTTAGAGTGCTAAGGAGGTTAGAGATCATTCCTGTGAAAACACTCAGTAGCAAGAAGTAGTGTGCACAATAGCAAGAGTAAATTCTAAATGTAGGACTGGTTAAAATATCCATATTCATACCTGTACCACATTCACATGTATACCTCTCTCAGTGCCTTGTCTTTCTTTGCTCTAGAAGAATTCTGATATGACATAGAAACTGCTAGATGCTGGCAAATAATCCCCGGGTTTCAGGCCATCTAGACAATAAACAACTCTATAATGTTCAGTGCAGCAGCTTCTGTAGAGCCCATCTGTTTGAAAATAACCCTAATTCTGCTTACAATGCGGAATGCTTTGTTGACTGGAATTTGTCCTAGTTTTCTTCAGCGAAGTCAGTGCCATAGGCCTCTGGTTCCACCTGCTGGCAAATGCAGATGCTGGAATGAAACCCTGTTTTTTCAACTAAAAGAGGAATTGCTGGTTCTCAAAGTCTAGCATCACCTAGGAGTTCAGTAATGACGCAGGGCCTGGGCTCCATGGCAATCCCACCAGGCCAGAAACCATTGCTTGAAACACCCGCTCGGTGATTCACAGACTCATATCCATGCTAGAGACGCCTTCGCCCAGAGTCCCTGGAGCTGGGCCCAGCAGAAGTCAGTAGCTTCTACTACAAGCAGTAGGTGACTGTGTGGCGGTGCGTGCTCAGTGCCCATCTCCACCATGTCCAGTGTGTCCTCTGATTCTTCGTGGCAGTAGCTAGAGCTTTAATTCCTTGGAACTGATTTAAAAATTTTTAAAGTACAGAAATTTGATGAATTATTATTTAACCAAGTGCTCAATTTAACATGACCAGTGACAATTCATGTTGGTGTCACGTTTCCTGCTGTGCCGTGATAAGGGCATTCCTGCAGTAGTCTTCACCAACACCCATGCTCTGGTTATAGGCAAACATCAGACCAGCACAACTGGGAGGCCCCCTGCAGGATCTCTGGCTCGTGCTCAGGGAAGTCAAGGTCACGGAAGACAAGAAAAGACCAAGAAACTAAGAGACTGAGGAAACATGATAACTAAGTGCGCTGTGGGTCTTGCAATAGAAAACAAAGAAAAAGGAACTAAGTGAAAAACTGGTGAAATCCCAATGACATTAGGCATTTAGTTCCCGGTAATAGCTCCACATCGCTTCTTACTTTTGGCAAAGGTACCAGTATTAACACAGGATGCTAGCAGTAAAAAAAACACCTGCCCAGGTCATCCTTGCACCTTCTCTGTAACTCTAGAATGATTTTGAAATAAAAAGCTTATTTAAAACTACCTTAAATGTAGGTGGAAGGGATGGCCACAGTGTACAGCCGAGGAGGCTGGAGCAGCCGCCCTCGAGGTGCTGAGTCTCTGAGCCAGGGTGGAGATGCCCAGCCCAGTGGCCCCTTCTCCTAGCGGCTGGCCCACAGACCCTGCAGCTTCTGAGGGTAGTATGGGACGCAGCAGTCTGTAGGGCTTTCATTCTTGTCTAGCATTTTCCAAGTTGTGTATTTGGTCACACCCATACCCAGATACACAGGTGGCGTCATGTGCTACCTTCAGTTTTCCCTTTCAGGTATACAGTGTGTTCCCAAACCCCTGCCTGAGGACCAGGCCAGAGGCCAGGTTCTCTGTGGCCCCCACTCAGCGTGAAGAACCCTTGTGTCCTAGCCTGTGGGAACACAGAAAAGACGGTCTCTGTTCACAAGGAGCCCATTCCTGTCTTTCTAATGGTTTTTCCTAGGAGCTGGGGATATAGCTCAGTGGCACAGTTCCTGCCCAGCAAGCACAAGGACCAGAGTTCAATTCCCAGGTCAAAAGAAAAAAAAGTTACACCAAGAGATTTCATATGTTTACTCAGCAAATATCCCTAGATGATTTTGAACTGGAAAAAACCCAATAAAATATAAAATAACATGAACAGGGAAGGAGCTACTTGGAAAGAGTCAATCTCTTCTCATTTTCCAGAGTCAGCTGTAGGTTCAGCTCACTAGGGGGCTCTCAGATTATTGACCAGAGGTGTCCTGCTTTAAATCAAGGAACATTGCCAATATCCCAAAACATTACTACATATATAGGAAGAGGTCTTTGAAAATTCTTCTGAGACTCATTAAAACTCCTTTGAAACAAAGTGCTCTGGTGATACAATTTCCAAAGAATTGAAGACAGATTGAGTTAAGGAAAAAAACAGAAAAGTCCTTTTGCATTAAAATTTCTGTTCGTTTTAGAATTGTTTCGCATTATAGTGGTTCCTCATGCGCGATGGGCAGCTCATGCTTCCTTCCTGTGTGTACCCCCGGGCCTCTGGGGCGGGAAAAGCAGGGAGGACTGTTTCTGTAAGAAGTTACAAACTCCTCTCCATCAAGAAAAAAGAAGAGATAATTAACGACCATTTCAGGTGGGCCTATCTGTTGGTAAACCTTACTCAGTGTCAAAGGAGATACTTATTCCACTCAGGGATCTAAAATAAAATCTTCCTATTTACGGTGAGTCTTATCTGGGTAGAAGGTGACTCATTTCTGCTATTTCTTAAACAGATCCTATCTCCAGGTCATGATTAAGGCAGGAATACTCTACAAGTCTACAGATTCTGGGGTTCAAGGAGACAACTGGCAGCTCAGTGTCTGAGGCACCACAGAAAGAAATCTGGTCTGTCTCTTTACTTGCCCCCAGGCCAGCCATGTGATCTGTGAAAATTAATTAAAATCTCACAGCTGCAGTCCCTTGTCTGTAAAGTCACTGTAGTGGGGACTCGTGCATAGTAACTGGTAGAAAGGTGTGGTCTGAATTATTACTTGGATGTTGGCTTCATGTATTCAGTTCATGCAAATTAACTGAGTAATAGAGTCCAAAAAGTAAGATGGTAGTAAATAAGTAGTAAGTGTGTCCAATAAATGTTTCCCCTTGACTTTCTTTTGTGGAAATTCTAGAAGTCAGACCATATGCTGCCCATATTTGCAGTAAACACTCAACCTAACATAGTAGACTCCACATTTAGGTTACTCTGCTGCTAACTGGACCATATCCTGCTGATATTTGGTCTCTTGTGTCCATTATGGGTCCCCAGAATTAACCAACTGAAAGAGAATATGCAGCAGGTGAAATGGGCGCCGAATTGCTTTCCATTCCAGAGCTTCTCATTCTAGGATTTCCAGTGTCACCGCAGAAGTAGAAAATCCCAAGGCTGCTGGCTTGATGGGCCAAGGGGCGGGACGTGGAAGTGCCTGCTCTGCAAGCACATGTGCGCGCCACCGTGAACCACAGTGGGCATAAGGCTTGGAGTGAACTTCAAACTACTTTGAGAGAAAGAGTTCATCTTACGATCTGTGACTCAAGGAGTAATGTGGCCTTGCTGTCCTTTGACACCTCCCCCTTTTCCAAGAATGCCTTGCTAGGTTGCTAAACCTAGTTTCTTCCAGGCCTCTTTGGACTTTGTCAGTCCACAGCTTAGCAACTGGCCTCTTTGGAGGCTTTGCAATTCACGGAATTCCAATAAAGACACATCCTTGAAAAAGAGCGTGAATCCCATGCCACTGCCCTCATTTGACGACAGAAATCCCAGAGAATGCTGGTGATTTATGTAAAACATTGTTCTTTTTTAAAAGTGATTTGCTTATTAGCTCCCTGAGCTTACGGGACAGATGTGGCGTCCTGTGCCTTCCCTTCAGGACCATTTCACTGAATGGCACCAAGCGCTCATCACATGGCAGGCAGACTGGCGAACACCAGCTAACTGAAGATCTCTATTTACACAGACAGCGAGCAGGAGAGAACGGCTGTCACCTTGCAGCACTCTTTAACAATTCTTATCTGGAGAAAATTGTTTCTCTTCCTTTAGCAGTAAAATGCAAAGGTTACTGCATTATACATAAGGGTATAAAACTAAAATTTTTTTTTCATCAAGAACCACAAATCAGTAAGTCTTATGACCTCACTACTGGTGCTATCATTGAGCTAAATTGTCTTCCACTGGGCAGTGTTCCGGAAGTTCTTTGAAGCATACTCACTGTTTCTTGGAATAAAATTGAAGGTTGACCTCCATTTGTGGGAACACAGAAGCAAGTCTCATAAATACTAATACCCTCCACCACGTTCTTCTGAACAGAGCCATTTCACCCAAGCCTGTAAATTTTCAATGCATGATTTAACTAAACAAAAAAAGAAAGTCTTGGCTGGACCCTCCAGCTCTCCCAGTAGCCCGGAGTCCCCCCATGCTATGAAATTGCACTAACTGCTCAGTAAAGGTTGTTCATTACCTTTTTAGTGTCTGTTTCTTGAAAGGAAAATATTACTAACTAGCAATTCCACATTGTACAAAGCAGGGCTAAAATAGTCTGTAAATACAGTTGGGCTCTGTCTCTCAAGAAGGCACTAGTTTTGTCATTTCATTTTGTATGTATTTTATGGAGAGTTAATGACACAGATAAGTAGACAGGTAGGAAGCACATGGTTCTTGATGTTAGAGATTAAAAATCATAACGTTCAGTGCCCAACAGGCATTTACTACTACATATGGCATTCAACTGGGCATTTTACTTGCATTCTCCCTCCCTTTATCCGTATCCTCACAAAGGCGCCATTCTTCCTGTGCCCATTTACAGACAAGGACATTAGCACCTCAAGAAAGTAACAGTATATGCTGCAGAAGTAAAGGAGCGGGGTTTTAACTCCAGAGTTGAGGAAAGACTCTGCTGTCTCCTTGCTCACTTCTTTCGCACAGGAACCACCCAGGGCCTGCTGAGGTGCAGTTCTGACTGTGGCATTGCCCCTAGTTCTAGGCAGAGCCAGCAAGCCAGCGCTGATTCTCTGCCAGCTTTCTTCTTTTAACTGTCTCCCCCAGTGGAGGACTGTTCAGGCTCTCCACACTGTGCTTCACATGTGTCACTGTGCATCAGAACACAAGGCTAAGCCCCTACGAGACGCCTGCAGAGGATCCTGGAGATGACGGAGAGCAGTGATAGGTGATGTGGCCCTCAGCGAACAAGATCAAAATGGCTTAAAAAATAAATGCATAGGCAGGGAACTGGAAAACAGAACATATTGGAGACCGAGTGGGCAGCCAGAAAGCTCTGTCCCCAGTGTGGCTGGCCCAAAGCGCAACTCGCAGGCAGTGGGTAAGCAGCTAACTAACATCCAGTTTCTAAATTCTCTTTGAAATATCCAACATTATTTTACACTTGAAAACTGTACAAAGATTCAGAGCAGCATAGTGTTCAGAGCCTGAAAACAGTTCAGCCGCTCCTGAGACGGTAGCACTGCTATTAACAGAAGCAAAGAGGACTTAAAACCATCAGAAAATCAGACTGATTTCCAATCAGGCATTTTTGCTGTTTTGGTGGGAGCCATCATGGTCCACCTGAGGCTCCTAGAAAGCCAAGCTGATCTGCTAGCTGGTGGGCTCCGTGAAGACCTGTGCTGGAATTTCAGAGTCACATCTTTGATACTGCAGAATCTCTAAGAGTTGAAAGCTTAGCACAGACCGGTGGAGGCATAGAACCATTTAGAGCTTTCAATGGTATGAACTGCCCCTTGTGACACGTGTGCCATAGGTTCGCCACTACTGGCATAGCCTTCTCCTTTTCCATTTTCAAACAGCAATGAGCTCCCTTATATCCATGAAGAAAAGGAGTCACTGAGTTCGGGTGGAACGGCAGGCAGTGGTGAGAGGGTGTCATGCTTTATATATTAGGGGCTGTAGACCTGATGGTAACTAGAGAACTGGGACAATACCCAGAAGACCTAGGTTCGAGTCTTGCTTTCCTTCGAGCTAGCTTTGTGGCCTTGGATGTATCCCTGACCTTCTCTGAGCCTCAGTATCCTCCTCTGTAAAACAGTGAAAATTAGAGTAGAAATGAAAGCCAGGTAACATCAGGCCCCTTGAAGAGCTCTGCAAGGGAAAGAGTGCTTATTGTCCCTCCTTGGCTTGCACTTTCTCCTTTAGCAACAGTGTTCCACTGGCTCAGCCCAGCTCTCCCCGAATGCCCTGCACGCGGTCCCAGAGAGCACGTGTGCCAGTGGCTCATTCTAGGGCTGCAGCTGAGGAACCTGCTCAGCCCTCTGCTTCTGATTCCTCATCACTTCTTGGAAATACTAATCCACTCAGAGGAATCCAATGTCCTCTGTGGTATGAAAACACCAGAGGACACTCCGTTTCCCTTTGGGAGCCTGAGGACCTTTCCAGCCTCCCAGGCTTTGTGCCCTGTGGCCTGGAGTCAGCCTGCCACGTTGTTTCTACTTCTGCCCACAACTTGTTCTAATGGTATTCCCTGCCCATCTGGGACAGGCTGTCAAACATTGGCCAGTGCCACAAGTGCAGTTAAGAATGGTCTTTTTAAAAACAACTGTTAGAGTTGAACTTGGATATGATCACATAAACCAATTTTGAACAATAAACTGGTGGTGATTTGACTAATAAATTTATCATTTGGAAGCATTTACCATCTTGATCAAAGGGAAATTCCTTTATAAACACATGTGGTAAACTATCTCCAGTTGTTACAGTTTATATCAGGAACGATCCTCCAGAGGCCTTGTGTGCCCCTGGGTGGGGTCTTGAGACGATGAGCAGACCACAGGGGCGCTGTAGCTGATGTGCTGTTAGTCGGCAGGGCCTGTGAAGATCACACACTGTGTCTTGTCAGTGAAACTTTTAACCTTACTGTATTTGGGAGACTGTATGGTGAAGGTATAGAAACGCGTAACGTTGAATATCATTTTTAATGTAAGTTCCTAAAATGACATCTGTGTCACGGTCCCAGAAACTTTGAGATGAAGTCTCACCTAGCAGAAGGGAGGGAGGCCAGGGTCTACCTTCTTCAGTGGGTGTTCTGGTCAGCAAAGGCTGCAGGGGCTCGGGAGGTATCATTTTCTGCTGGTCTCAGCGAGAAAGGAGAACCAGCTGCGGGGAGAATTGAGGCGCCCAAAACCATGGGAAAGCAAGCACAGAAGGACTGCCTCTTAGTTGCATATTTTGAATTTCTCTGTCTGACAACTAACATTCCAGCCATGGCTTGAACAGTGACTCTTACTCTCCTACTGCGTCCTCTTACGTCTTTTCATTATAATCTAAACAAACGTCATTGTCAAGGTAACCAAATGGAGCATCTTAGGAAAAGTACACCTCCTAGAAAAAGACCAAATGTTCCCTTGCTTTCCTTCCTATGAAAGCAATTGCCCTTGCCCAGCCCCCCTTCCCAGCTAGGTCTGCCTCGCAGGAACCAGACTTGGACCCCAGGCCAGTCATGGCGGAAGCTCAGGTGGCAGTGGAGAGTGATGGCGCCTGGGTGAACCTAGTCCCTTTGCAAGTCCTAGGCAGGTGCTATTTATTGGATAGTGATAGGACGTTCAGATCTGTTCCAGGCACTGGAGGCCAGAGATGTCGCCTGCCCTTGCAGAGCATATGTTTCGAGTAGAAGGAAGCGAGTGGACTGATGGCAGCACTGCGGGCAGGGTGTAGAGACTCCCTGATGACAACTAACAGGAAGGTGGTGAGAGCTGAATGGATGGCAGCAGGAGGAAATGCTTCCTGGGGGTGGCCAGGCAGTGGAAGGGGAATGCAACTTTTGATTGATACAGTTTGAGAGGCAGGAGTTTGGCGAATTCACATGGTGTGTAGAGCCACAAGAGTAGCAGGCTACCGTCTTTGTGTTCCCCATGCTTTAAACTAGTGGTGATACATCTGCCCGCCTGCTTCTAGAGGACAGGGAAGCTCCTCTGTGTGGTGCAGCTTGCTGATTCCTTGCCATCGAGAACTATGTATTCCCCTTCCTTATTACTCTGCACAGCTCCTGAGAGGGTTGTTTATTCAATGACTTGATCATTTATATCCTCACAAGCCATATTTTCAGGACATTTGCAGTCCCTTCCAGTAATGATTTCAATGGCCCTTCATATGACAATTTGTGCCTGTACTCTTGCCTGGCTGCCTGGATGTCCACACCACTCCGCTCCTACTGTACATGTCCCATGCCTGTCCCCAGGCTTGCCTGGACCTCAGCCAGCTGTGGTTCTACCTGCTGGAGGGAGCCAGGGGAACAGGGTGGAGTGAAGAAAGGGGAGACCCAAAGGCAGAGCAGGAGAAGCCAGCCAGCGCCCAGGTGGGGAGGTTGTAGAGGTGAGCACAGGGCAGACGAAACAGAACACTGAACCCTTGGCCCGTTACGGAAGGGCATGATGCAAATTATGGAGCTCGGTGAGAAGAAACATAAAAGTGGGAGGATTGTGAAGCAACGTCATATCCAATTAGGTCCCGAGCCAAGTTAGGTCCATAAACTGAGCCACACTACAAGTATTTTTTTGATGTTGAAATTTAGAATTGGCAGCTGAGGTAGAACTGTGTCTATTATGTGTATCTTTTTTGTGTTAAAATGAAGATGACACCAAAGTGATGGATTTTTTCCCCTCCGCCCTTGAAATCCTAGGATTACACAAGGCCTTATAGATATCAAAAGCATAGATAGGAAGTGTTTGATTTTCCTTTTTGCTTTCTCCCCACAGGAAACACCAGAAATAACCCACCACCCTACGGGTTTCATCTCTCACCAGAAGACATGAGGAGACAGCGGCTTTACAGATTCGACAACCAGTGAGGCAGCTTTTTGGGAAGACATCATCCAGCTGTGTCCTGGTGGCCCACATGCTCACTCCCCGAGCCTCTAATAGCTTTAACAAAATCAGAGTACAGTTGTCATCCTGTATTGCTCACGTCTGCCATGGGCCCTCCCCGTGTGGCCCCTGTGAATGAATCCAGCCTGACATATCAGGTAGAGTAGCAGGAAGCCAGGCATGTTGAAAGCAGCTCACAGCCCTCTGGGAGGGACCACCCTCCTCGCCTTGTCCTCTGTCCCAAGCAGAAATTCACCTCCTCCATGAGGAGCTCCCACACTCCTTCCACCCTCCTTCACCTGCCTGCTACTCAGGGTGCATTTACCTTGTCTTGATTTTGAAGCCCTGGGTTTTCACCAGGAGGTTTTGTTTTCACCAGTTTGGAAGATTAGACCCTCATCCAGCCCGGAGCCCTGCATGCTGGACTTGGCAGGAGGTGAGGCCCTGTGCCCTCGTCCTCCTGGCATGTTGCCATGGTGATTGTCCAGGAAGGCACCGTGGCTGCTCTCCCAGGCACTGTTCTGTCCTCCTTCACCCCGGCTCCTCATTGCAGGGCCTTTGCTTTGTTCTCACATGGCTTTGCCTACAGAGTGCGTCACTGTAGGAGTATGAGAGACCCGGGGGGGGGGGGAGGCCCATGTACTCTGTTAGGTGGCAGGTGGCACCAGCAGGAGCCTCCCCTCAGAGGCAGCAAGAGTACCTGGGTGGCGCGTGTCACTTGATCAGCCAGGCAGCAGCAGGCGCCACATCAGAGGGGAGCAGCGACTTTTAGTGGACCAGTCTGACTAGAAGTATTTTTTCCTCATAAAAGTGCCTTTTAACTGGCCGCTGCAGCAGCTGTTTGTCCTGCACAAGTGTCCAAAACATGCCCCAGGGCTCTACAGTGTTATAGTACACAGACTGCCGAGTCAGCGGAGGCATTTCCTGGTGCTTCATGAATAAGAGGCCACAGCCAAAGCGCCACTCGGTTCTCACTGTGGTGGAGCTACTGCTTTTTAAAGAGCCAGAGAAGCAGAAAATGATTCATCCATGTCTTCCTCTTGCGTCATCTGTCACTTACCTAGAGCTTTGTGATTGTGTAAGCAGAGCACTTCAGGAAAATACCCCAAAGGTAACGGAGGTTATCTTTGGCAAGGGAGTATGTGGGACTTGTATGTTCTCGTTTTTACAATTTTATATGCTATTTTTTAAAAATGTGTATATGAATATATTATATTTGAAGTCAGGAAAACAGATGTAAAAAGTATTGTATATCGAAAAAATCACAATATAAACAAAAATATGAATATATATAAGATTTTTAAATTACCTGTATTCCTTCCATTTAGAGGTATCCAGGTGCAAAAATTTGCCTTCTCAATTTTTCTTTCATGCTTTTGACAAATTTGAAGTGTAATGAGTGTACTGCTACATCTCTGGTTCCTAATCTGTATTTACCTGGGTAAAGCTTTGGCACTTTCTTATCAATGAGCTAAGAAGCCCAGTAGAGCTGGAGATGCCTTGACCTCCAGGCCGCCACCGCATTCCTGAGCTCTCAGCTTCATTTATAATTGATGCAAAGCTGAGCTGTTGATAATGTGAATTGTACTCATGAGTCTGCTAACTTTAAATGTACTTAAATTTAAATGTTCGAGCCCAAATCCCTCCTTTCTCCCAACTATAAATTTGACCTCCATCTCCTATTCCGAAGTGACCACTTTCTTACATGCCATCTTCTCACAGAACATGGATATTCTGATATAATTACCATTATTGTTGTCATTATCATTAATGGCTAACTACACCAAGATGTGCCTTCCACAGGGGAGGCTGGGTTATAAGTGATAACTGAAACCATTTATCTTCTCGTTCTCCTGTCTCCCCTCTTTACCACCTAAAGACTTGTGGTCGGACTCATTATCAGTTTTCCACCAGAGTGTTTTTTGGTTGCATTGAAAGTCAAATCATGTATATACGGAAGTTTTCATTTGTGTGAGTCCAGTAGTAGGACCTCCTTATTCTGTGCAAGCAGACACGAAGCCAGTGGAGTCCAGTTTTGGATACTAAAGCTGTAATGCATGCATGCCTTACTCGTGAAGTGGAATATCACCACACACTGGAGATTGAAAAGGTCGTTTCAGTTATAAATATAAACCAGTTATTTTTACACAATAATAAAGATGTTCTGGAATTCATAGAATTATTTTGTTGACTCAGTGGGCTTGCCTATAACCACTGCTTATTGTTTTCAGTGTCCTTTTGCCCCTAGCAACAAGAAATCCCCAAAGTGTGCCAACAGACCGAAATCCAGTTGAGGGAAATAGGCAAAAGCGAGTGCATTAGACTGATTACTTCTAATAGGGACTAAGCACTGAGAAGTGATTTTTAATTTGGTTTCTTTGTGTAGCAGTCACATCCTGATTGTCTGCTCTGTACACAGCCGTTTGGCATGCTCATTCAGCTTATGAATTTCTTAATTCAGAAGCTCAGAGGCAGTAGTTGCAGTTGCGTCCTCCCAATGACTGAAGTGCTATCCATGGTTTCAAGGTGTATTTAATGATGTTCGAACCTCGTCCATCTTTTTAAAAGCCTGCTTATGCAGCTCAAACCCAGCAGTGAATAAGTGGGGTCAGCAGCACCGGGGCCGGTCTGTACATCCGGCACTTGCTCTGCTGCCTGGGAATGAGCATCAGGAGCAAGATGCCTGCCACAGTGGTCCCTAAGGTAGGGAAGGGAAAGGGGGACAGCGTGGCCCCGATTCTCTTAAGAGGGTGCGTATTCATAAAGATGTGTGTTCCAGCTGAGTGTGGTGGCCCATGGCTGTGGCCCCAGCTACAGAAGAGGTTGAGGCAGGAGGATCCCGAGCTCGTGGATAGCTTGAGCAGCTCAGCAAGACACAATCTCAAAGAATAAGGGGTCATGAATATAGCTCAGTGTAGAGGACTTGCCCTTCCTGTGTGAGGCCTTGGATTCAGTCCCTGATACCAAAAAGTGATGTGAAAAGAATTATTTCTTCCTTTCTTCCATGGATCCGTGCACTCATTTCCTTTCCCTGTCAATTTAGATCAGACTGTCGGAAAAACCTTTCAGTCTCTGTTCTGCTCAATACTTAAAATACTCATCACTCAGTTGTGCATGATGTTGCGAGGTGAGGCGTCCAGGATCCTTCTGCCGTGTCACTTACCATTGCAAGTAACTTTTGCTGTCTGTCTGTTGCCAAAAGACAAAGGTCAGAGTCATTAGCATCAAAGTGGGGCTCCCACAGCCTCAGGCCCACACTGCACATTCAGCAGAGACTGCGCTCTGGTCCCGCTGGCTGGCTGGGAGTGCTCCTGGCAGCCAGGCCTTTTCTTGCTAGCCATGTGCCTGGACAGCCTCATTCTCTTGGCCTGACCATGTGCCCGCCCTCATCTTGCCCAGCTGAGCCCTTTCCCCGGCCCACAGACCTGAAGGCTTGGCATCGCCAGGCCTGCTGCACCCCTGGGCCTGCATCCAGCGGCTTCCACACCACTAACGCATGGGGCTGGTTTTCATGTAGTAAGAGAATGTGTCCTCATGCTTCACCAGAGAACCTGTTTCCCTCCTAACAGTACCCTCACTGTTTTGTGTGTAGTATCAGAACCAATGAATACGTGACGACAAATATGGAGAAGCTCACTTAGACCATCACCAGGGGCGCACCAGAGTGGTTCTCACATGTCACTACGCACAAGTAAATCTCCAGTCACTGAGTCCTGTAAAGCAGACCATTGGGGGAACAAAAGAACACTTTTCAAGTTTTTCCTGCTTTTCCAAACAGATAGTAAAAGTAATTCCTGGTTGAAAATTTCATTTTCAGCTGATAAAACCATCAACACTTGGTGTGCAGTCACCGAGGCTGCGAGAAGTGATGCTGCTGGCCTGTGGGACAATGAGACAGGCCCGGCTGGCTGGTGGGGGAGCGGCTGAGCCTTCAGTCTGGGTCAAGGTAGACCTCTGCACAGAGGAGTTTCCCTGGATGGTGACCTTGGGTACCTAGGGACAGAGGCCTGGCAGGCACCCAGACCACGAAATAGGTATTATCCTCATACTCACCAATGCTGGAGCTAAATAACAGTATTATACATTTTGCATCTCTACAGTTGACTTTGACCTCTTCAGTGCTTCTGTGTAGCCCCATGAGGCCTGTGGCGTCTGAGCCCTGCACTTACTGGAGGCCAGTGCAGCCCTTGGGCCCAAGGCCTGGGTCTCATTCTCTCCTGCTGGCCATCACAGTCTGCAGAACTGTGTTTCCAGAGCTCAGAATCCCGCCCTTCCCAGCCTATCCTCTTCCCTTCTGCATTCTCAGGCCCACAGGGAATAGTCCTTATTTTCCCTGCTAAGGCAACTCCAGGTATAGAGTATAGGCCATGTGACAAAGTAGGTTAAAAAAAAAATAATAATCTGCATTGGCACGAAAGAAAATAAAACACACTTCTTTGGGGGATGTCATCAGAATTTTATATGTATTGAACCATATTATAAATCAGACCACAGCAAAAGTTTAGGGGTCAATGGGAAAGCAGGCAACTTGCAAAAGTTACATGTTCATAGTCTTTATAGGTTACAGAAAGGGATGCAACGTACTGGACATGTTTCACATTTTTCCCATGAAGGAATCACTGATCAAAGAACCATAAATGCAAGCAGTTTGCATGGACAAGACAGCCACCTTTGGTGGTTTAAGCTGCACTACACAGCTTCGAGCTGCTAGTAACAGTTACAATTGGAGAGTACTGATTTTTAGGGTCGATGTTTGTTCCCTGCAGAATTCAGTGATAATGTCTTTGCAGGAAGTCTTGGTATTTTTTGTGGTATAGTAACTTTGAGGAATGAAATAAAACAGCGTTCCCAAAGACATTACAAATTGAT